TTCGTCTAGGGGACCTCGTCCTTAGAAAGGTCTTCCAAACATCAAAGTCAACTGGGTTTGGAGTGTTGGGACCGAACTGGGAGTGTTCTTACCTCATTCGCGGGGAATCCTGACCTAGTACTTTTGAAATTAAAGACATGGCAGGGAAAGCACTCCTTCATCAATGGAACATCGAACACTTGAGGAAGTACTATCAGTGATGAACTTGTGTTTCAATCCGATCTCAATGTTTGTCTAATAAATGTGTCATGATCCGATCTCATTTGTAACTTCCCTATCTTAGTGTTGAAAATGCCTTAATAAAGGGTGATGTAACTTCTCTAAATAATGATACTTCAGTTCTTTGTCACATCGGTTAGTAAATTGTTACCTCGGCTCTTCAATATGTTAATTGGTCCGATCTTCTGTTATTAACCGGTTTACTTAAGTGGTTGTCATTCATATACTCAAATGTAAACGACTCAACACAATAGAAAAGCAGAAGCAACAATACTTAACAAAAAAATTTCATTTTATTCATTTGGAATTAGATTACAAACGAGGTCGAAGCCATTACAAAAATTGATTAACTCTATTCTACTTGGGCATCTTCCGCCCCGGCCTCCGCCTCGCCTGCCCCAAGGGCCTCTGAAACGTCCTCGGCGAACCTATCAAGCCGACCTTCAGTAGGCCCAACAAACTCTGCCTCTAACGCGAAGATGTCCAGAGTAGGATGGACCCGTTTCAGCCGACCCAATAATCCTTGGGCACTCCAAGAAGCCCAGAAGTTTGCAAAGTCGTCGTACAGGGGGTGCTCTTCGAAGTGGTCAATGAAGTTCTGTACAACCACCTTCCCTGTTGACTTCAGCTCCTCCTTTAGAGAGGCGATCTCCTCAGCTTGGGCATCTGCCCTCTGCCTCAGCTCCACCTTTTCTTTATTGGAGGCCTCGAGAGCCTCCCTGGCGAGCCAGTGGTGCTCGTTTGCATGATCAACTCTACAGGTAATAGCAGCCACCTGGCACTCCACTTCATAGAGCTCCTTCTTTAACTGCTCTATGCCCCCCTTGGCGATTTGCCAGCTGGGCCTCAACCTCCTTCCTTCATCTCTCTTCCTCCTCGGACTTGGCCCGGGCCTCCCTCACTGTGTCACCATATTGTATCGCCTCCTCAAGGCGCTTAGCGAGGTCTTCCCTCTTAGCTTTGAGGTCTTTCACCAAGCACTCGAGTTGGATGCCTGTGCTAAAGGTCCGGGCCACAAAAGCACTATTGGCCGCAACCAAGTCCTCGGCAATGCAGGATGCGGTGTGGTCTCTCCATTCCTCGGTCCAATACTTTTTGTGGACCACCGCCACTGCAGCCGTCTCTGGAGGAAGAGCCTCCAACACTTCCTTCACTGGCTCCTCTGAATTGGTGCCCAAGAAGTCCACCTCCTTCGAGGGACGAGCCCTTTTCCTCTTTGTCTACCTCGGTACTTAGCCAATGGGCACGACAACTAATGACGATATGGTCGGGGTAGGAGGAGCCTCTGATCATGTAGGCGTCTTCTCCGGGATGACCACCCCGGTAGGAGTTGTTGTCTGCCTCAGAAGTGGAGGCAGCCTTGCCACAGTTGTGCGTTTCGAGGGGACAGTAGGCTTCTTGCCATTCCGCAGCAGATTTGCCTTTGAGTCCTCCACCACCTCCTCCTCGGTCGGAGGCTGGAGCCTTTTGTTGGCCTCCACCAGATCCTCCATCTGCGTTTTGTACGTAGATAAGGAGGTTTTCAGGGCTCTCGCTTCTGTCATCATCCTTTGGATGGTTTTGAAGTATGACCTCAGAGGCAGCTTCTTGTTAAAGTTATTTGCAAGGGAACAAGTACTTTAATAAAACTGTAAACAGTTCGAAAAGTGCTGAAAGATATTCGCTTCGGGACATTTACCTTGAGAGGCCATCAAGTCGTGCGTCACGAAGTGGATGTTTTTCTGATCAGCTGGTGGTATGATCTCCTTTTTGGATGTAGCTGGTAAATGATGCAGATGATGTCGAAGTCCTCGATAGATAACTCATACCGAGGAAGAGTGCCTTCAAAAACAAATAGAGTAGTTAAGAACCGAACTGAAGAAGAATAAACAAGAAACACAAAGTCACAGTACTCACTAAGTGTTGAATACTTCGTGGGGATCGTAAGAGGCGCCGAGGGGTCCCCCTCCATCGTGTCCCATCTCCCGACAGCCCAGCACCACGAGCTCTTCCACTCCTTAATGGAGTTCGACAGATCAAGCATGAATGGAGTGTGGAAACCCCATGTGGTCAGGTAATACCAGCCCCTGGTCTTATCCCCCCAGCTGCCACCTTAGGGATATAGAGGGTCTGAAAAATAGAGAAGGACATCTCTACTCCAAGCAACGCCTCCTTTTGAAAAACAGAGAAGGACATCTCTACCCCAAGCAACGCCTCCTTTC